CCAATTTTTCATATGAAATTTTCATCAAAATTACACAGAATCTGCCCCCAGTTTTGACCACATATTCTGCCCCCAATTTTGACCGTATATTCTAACCCCAGTTTTGACTTAATAATCAATAATATAAAAATAAAATATATTTCACAATGAAGTTATACATAAAAATAATAATATGTGAAACATAATAACATTTATATTTAAATAGTATATTTCAATGAGAGGGACAAAATATAATGTAGTTTAGAATATTGTAATACTATATTTTATAATAATATAGTATTAAATAAATATATAATACACACTTATATAACAAATATTTAATATTGATATTTTTAAATTAAAATTTAGCTAAAGCTAGAGTAAACATTAAATTTATTAAGTAAAATTTATAATTTTGAATAAATAATTCTATTTGGTAATAAAGATATTGGTATAATATTTAAATAAAATACAAATGAAAAACTGTTTTCAAAAATAGAATCAAAACTGGGGGCAGAATATGTGGTCAAAACTGGGGGCAGATTCTGTGTAATTTTGATGAAAATTTCATATGAAAAATTGGGGGCGTAATTTTGGGGGCAGTAATTTTGGGGGCTAAATCGACATGGCCGGGTTAGGAGGTACCTAAGATTTAATTTTCAAGATTAGCTAGATATTATGAATGAAAATGTTAATTAATTAATATATTATAATTTTATAATATTTTTTAATTTTCCAAAAAAAAATATTTTAATAAAATCCCATAGTGTATACTTGTACTGTACTTATAGATGAATTGCAAGTACACAAATTACATAAACCATACTACATTATTTTATGAATTGAAGTATTATTATTATTATGTTTTTATCGTATATTCTATCGCACATTTAAAATAATCCAGGTTTAATTATCTAAAAGGTACGAATTTTAATTGATTTCTTATGAGCTCGGTAATTATCATTTATATATTTCAGCATATTAATTGAAAATGTGTAATAAATGTTGAGTACTATCTAATTAATTTTTAAAAGTAGTTCAAACTAGCTAATCTTTAGGGATAATTCATAGATTACTTTCAGAAACCTTTATAATATATTATTTAGAAATTGATAAAAGGTAATACTTAAAATTATGACAATATTAAATATGAACTGTAATCTGAATTAAATAATTATATTACCTATAAGTATTCGTAAAATTTTATTTATTGAATTCAAGTATCACATGTACATTTAAAATTATCTAATATTATTGTTGCTTAATTTTTAATAATAGTAATAATTTATAAAAATGTAAGCATAACTTTTAAATTAAGAATATTTTTAAAATAAACAATATTATACACCAAGGTGATATACCAATTTTGCCCTTATCATATTTTAAACAATTTTGCACACTTTACTATTTAAAAACTTATTTGATATTAGTTCAGGTAGACGGGTAGGGGGTTGGTAACCAAAATTATGGTACATTTATAAACTGTTAATCATGTTGATAACTTTTATAATTCCGTATACAATTTCCAAATACAATAACATTATGTAACCAGTGCACTACTTATCCTAATAGATAATTATACAGTATAAAAACAAAAGTACTTTTAACACAAGTAATAAAACTTTTTAAAAATGTATTTATATTTTATATTAGCATTTCTAATTATAAATATTAATTGGTGTGCATGCCTACCCAGGTCACATCAACACCATTTAAAATATAATAAAACTGATAGTAATATTGTAGGGGGTAGTGATGCCCAACCGGGGGCTAACCCTCACATGTGTTCCCTGCAGTTGGACGGCAAACACGGTTGCGGTGCGTCTATAATCAGTGCCCAATGGGTGGTTACGGCTGCACATTGTGTCAGTGAGTAAGTATCCAGGTTAATATATTTGTTATTTATTAAAGGGTAGTTTTCATTTTTATTTTAAAAAATTTAAGATACTACTTGTAATTAAAAAAATGTATGTTGAATAAATTTAAAGAAAAAAATATCCATATACCTTTAGAAAATTAGATTGTGGATTAAATGTTTTAAAAGTTTTTAAATGTGACAATGTAAAACTCAATGTATTTATTAAATTTATAGTTATGTAGCTGTAAATTTAAATTCATAATTTTAGAATGATAAATTTTTTCAATAATTTTATTTAAAATTTGGTATCAGATTAGCTTAAGTTTTATCAATTAAATTGTCAGTATGAAATAACATTATTTATAGTAACTTCATTAAAATTAAAATAGCATACTAATTTTAATTATTTGTTTTTAATATATTTATGTAACTATATTAAATACTTAAATATTGTAAAATGGGATAATTTAGAAACAATAATTTAATTTAATTATTTATGAAAAATAACCTTTTCAGGGAAAAATAAAAATTTGGTCGTTGTATCACAATATTCATTACTATAATATTTTAATCAATATAAACTTGATCAAGTAGTTAGATTTAGAAAAATAAATTTAATTCAATTTTAAAAAATAAATAAGTTATAATTACTATTTTAATAAAAAATAATTTTATAATATATTATTTATTTCTATTAAAATATTTCTAAAAATATAGACATGATCCAGCACAATTTATACTGCGTTGCGGTACATTAAAACACGCTGAGCCGGGTACTGACTTTAATATCGCTGAATTCATTGTACACCCTGAATTCAACCATGGTGCTTACATGGACAACGATATTGCATTAATCAAACTCGCTAGCGAAATACCGTTAGGCACAGGTAACATGGACAAAATTTCACTACCTGACCAAGGTTCAGACATGGAGCCTGGTGCAATGATAACAGTCACCGGGTGGGGATACCTTCAAAGTGGAAGTGGTGTTAACGCCGATAACCTGCAAACGGTTGACTTACCGGCAGTTTTGAGGGCTGACTGCGTGAATGACTACCCTTTCCATGATATCACGGATAATATGTCGTGTGCCGGATATGACGAGGGTGGTAAGGATTCGTGCACGGTAAGTGACCTAGTTGTATTATTTGAAGTTATTATGGTTAGTTAATTATGAAATTTTATTTATTTTAGAATGATTCAGGTGGACCGGCTAAATATAATAATGTGCTAGTTGGTATCGTGTCAATGGGGTTTGAATGCGCTAAACCACATCAGCCGGGTATATATGCCAGGGTGGGACAGTATAGGAATT